TATTTTCTTCTTTTTTCTTTAAGATAAAACAATCAGAAATATTATGCCCATATTTTTTGCAATAACGAGAGGTAGTGTTGGATTTTCGTCCCCTAGATTTGGATCTACTCTTTTTGTGACTAGCATTCCCTTTGACTTGAGTTCTACCTCTAACACTTAGACCCTCACCCTTGTCCTCAGAATGAATTTCAAGATCAAATTTTTCTTTGGACAATAAATTAGATTTAACATCTTCAAAGGATAAGGTGTCATTATTACCATACAACATAATTTCTTTGAAGTGTTTGTAGGTACAAGGTAAAGAGACAACCAACAAAACAATTTTATCTTCATCATCGATTTTAATATCGATATTTTGCAGATCCAACAAGTGGTATCAGAGCTGTTATTTAATTGAAAATATTAAAATGTCTACCGTTACAAATTTTGACATTGAGAAGTTTAATGGCAAGATTAGTTTTTCTATTTGGAAAGTCCAAATGAGAGCCATTCTCACTCAGAACAGATTAAAGAAAGCTTTAGATGGAAAGTCGATAAAATTGGCTTCCATGACCGATGAGCAATGGGACGAGTTGGATGAAAAGGCGCTTTCAGCAATCCAACTTTGCTTGTCCAAGGAGGTTTTACGTGAAGTGGTCGACGTAATTACTGCTGCAAAATTGTGGTTAAAGTTGGAAACTTTGTATATGACTAAAAGTCTCGCCAACAAGCTTCGTCTCAAGGAGCGATTATATATGATCCGTATGATAGAAGGTACTCCCATTCAATATCATCTTGATGAATTTAATTCTATTATTATGGATCTGTAAAATATCGATATTAAAATCGATGATGAAGATAAAGTTGTTTTGTTGGTTCGGATAATGGTGGCGATTTTGACAAAAGAAGATCTCTTTCTAGTTATATATTTACTTTCCGTAATTGTGCTATTAGTTGGAAAGCTCAGCTTCAATCTCTTCCATCATTATCTACGACTGAAGCTGAATATGTTGCAGCAACAGAGGGTGTGAAAGAGGCTTTTTGGCTTAAAGGTCTGATCAATGAACTTGGTCTTACACAAGATGTTCTTACTGTGTTTTGTGATAGTCAGAGTGCTATTTACTTGACCAAGAATAACCGCTACCATAACAGGATAAAACATATTGATGTGAGACATCATTTTATCCGAGAAATTGTTGCTAAGGATGAAGTCGTGGTTCAGAAGATTCATACATCTGAGAATCCAGCTGATATGCTTACTAAGCCTCTTCCAAAGGCCAAGTTCCAGCATTGCTTGGACTTGGTTGGCCTCTACAGCACTTGAATGCCCTTCGAGATTTAAACGACGTCGAGCAATTTATCAAAACTGATCCAAGGTGGAGATTGTTAGTAGGTGGCTCAGTTTGTCAACGTTTGCTGGCACCGACTTTGTTTTTTTTTAATCTTTGTAAGCACTGATTTTTTCATTTGGTAGGCACCGAATTGCTACAGTAATTATTGAAAAACTTTACAAAATTTTGCCTATAAATACCCAGTGTAGGAATGAATGACAGACACACCAAAAATTATGATCTTTTGTATATCAACTTACGGATCGGAGAAAAATTGAGAGTATTATTTTTGTAGCTCTTATTCTACTTGAGAGAGTATTTATTGAGAGAAAAATAGAGTGATTTATTACTCTGTCCTCATAATTTTAGAAGACTTCTTGTATTCTCCCTTTTACATAGTGAAATTATTTTGCTCTGTCCGTGAGTTTTTTCTCCAATTTGGAGTTTTTCCCACGTTAAAATCCTGCCTTCATTATTCTCTTACTTCTCTTTATTTCTAATTAAATTCGATCTAGTCTTCCGCATTGTGTTGATACCCCAACAGATCTCATACTAGTGATTAAGAATAAAAAGACAGAAATCTAGAAAAGAAGTAGCTCAGTTTACTCACGAGCTAGATTTACTTCAACACGTAAGAGATACCACGAGCCTGGAACAAGAAATTCAATGTATAAAGTAGTATTGATAGTAAACAAGTACCAGAATCAATGGAAAACTGAAGTCACATACCTGTCCATACAGCATTACAAAAGCACTTGCAGCAAGCGAATAATAAGTAAAGTCCCTGACAAGTGACCACTTTCTAGATTTGCAAGATAGAAGATTATTTTCCTCGAGTTAGTCAAATTTTCCAACGAAAAAAGGACAGATATTTGATGATAATGTGGGTAGCACTCGTTCAAGAACAGTTTCAATGAACTTTCTTGTTCCAAACAGCAGCATTTTAAAGCACCCTTAGGATCTTGCTTTCCAATAACTTTTCAAAGCATTTTGGATACCAACACTACAACTGCAATTGAAAGAGGTGGGGGGAATTAACTCAGTATTTGTCCAAATTATTTTATGTAAAATTATCAACACCAACTGAAACTAAGTCAATAAACAACTAATTTATGCTCTTCGAAGCCAAAATACCGAACGATTATATTAGCCATCATGATAGGGAAAAATAACTCTGATACAGCATGATCAGGGACTTCCATTGATACTAATTTCACAAAAATGAACGCGCTGTAATAAAGAGAAATGATAATCACGGAGGAATCAAAGGGGGAAAAAAGCTGCAGGGGAAGTGGGTAGAATGAAAAAAGATACCATTTTTTGGAGAGGAAAATTTGTTGTTGTTCAATAAACGCCTCACTCTTATCCTTGATTTCCTTGTCAAATAGATGAACACTTCCTTCAGCCATTTGCTACAGTTTCTGGCCGGTGCTCCTGGATTCTTTCGTATTTGTAAGTTGTAACAGAAATTCAAATACTATCGTAAGGCGATAATCTTAGTTCTAAGTCGTGTTTAAGAAGATTTTTTAATGTTTTTGTGAAATTTTAATCCATGAGTTTTAAATTTTTATATTTGGTATAAAATTATTTTAACATGTTTCTTTTTAACAAAACATTCTATGGTTGGGAATGATAATCTAAATTTCTATAAAAGAGGTAAGTTATAGACATATCAATGGAACATCTTTTAAAGATTTTTAGAAATACTTTAATAGTTTAACTTTCATGTGTTAAGTATAAAAAATTTTACTCTGTTAATTATATAAAATAGACTATAGATATAATTTTTTAATTAGATATTAAAAAATAATTATTCTTATTGACATGACAATTTAAAATTAGACAATAGCATAAAAATATTTTATACCATCAATGTAGTTCAAATAAATTCATATTTTAGACATCCTAAATGTAATTAAAATATTTTTTAAAATTATGATATGAAATTAGTTTTAAAAAATCTAAAATAAAAAAAGTGCCAAACATAATCTAAATGATAAATTTATAGTGATAACCATATCACAGCATGCAAAAATATTGAATATTTATTATATGTAATAAATAACATAGATCGATCAGATACTGAACATAAAATACTTTATAATTAGTGATTTAGTTATTTTATTTTTAAATAAATTAATAATTTATTAATTATGTATAACTTAGTTTTGGTATTTGGTATTTTTTCTTCTTCATTATATAACTCTTTATATAAGTATGATAGTAAATAGCGATGAAAAATGTTTTTTTAACATATAAATTGGTTAAGTGTATTTTCGCGTTGTGTTATGAAGTATATTTTTAAATATGTATACACAAAAAAGATAAACAATAAGTGAAAAATATAAATACTCTATATAATATTATATATTATATTAATTTTTTAAACTATACTAACAACACATTTTTAGTTATTAATTAAAATTTATTAAAAAATAAAAAAAATTAGGTTATTATACTCATGATTTTTACTCTTAATTTAATAATTTTTTTATATAATTAGTTTTTAATAAATTTTAGTTAATAATTTTCAGGACATTAACTAAATAGCAAAACAATTGTTTGGAAGATGGAGTAAGATGTTATAAATGTTTGTTGTCTTTCTGTTCAGTACTTTATTGCCTGTGATCGTTTTCTGAGTGGAATGGATTTGGCTCGGCAGTTCTTCAACTGCAATGCCTACAGGGTATGCAAAACTTGCAATGGTGTAACAAGCTAGGTTGTTAAGTGTCCACAGGATTGGAAAGGCGTAAACCCTTAGATTTGTATTTAAAATGTTACTCAGATTAGTATTTGAAATTGTATCAGCCACTTTAACCTCCACTTTTTAAAATTCTCATTTAACTTTGTGAAAAGCTTACTTCTAGAATTAAATGAAGATTTTAAAAAGTCAAAGAATAAATGAAGTTTACTATGACATTGATAAAGCATGTTGAAGTGCAACGATATCTGGTTTTCGTAGAAAAATGCTACAAATTTATGTGGTCTTAGAATTGAAGCAGCTTCCATGCAAAACTTAATTGTGGTGTTAGAAATGGTAAACAGTCTTACACAGTCAACATCGATTCCATTATTTTATTAGCTTCCATAATTCTTGTGGTGTTGGTGAACCGCTTGTGATCTTATCTCACTCATTGGACGTTGACCACATTGTTTCAAAGATAACATGCAAATCTAGGATCACTTGAGTCACAGAACCTTATAAATCAAAAGGATCTTTGAAATAGTGCTCACAAATTTTCTGGTTGTGCCTTTAATGCGGAAAAAATAAATTTTTTAAGACTTGGGCTAGAGTTAACTTCGATAGATCAAGAATGTCAGTCACAGAATCTGAGTATATAGAGGGAAACAAAATAAAAGTTGGAAGAGGTTTAGAATCCATTGTTGACAAGGAGAATGATTTAAACTTTAAAGATACCAAAGAGATGGTTGATGGATTTTGGAGATGGAAACTCGACCACTGGACTTACATAATCTTCTTATGAAGATGAAGTTATAATATTCAAATGCTAACAGCATAGCATTACTGGACAAATTCAAATAGTCAAATAATATACAAACGAATATCCAAAATCAAAACATAAATCCAACTAGAGAACCTTAACAGAAGAAAATGAAGCTCCTCACAAGGAATGAGGACGGGATTTGTGCTTTATGAGAATGAGTTAAACTCCAAATCTACCACTCACTTCAAGTTGGGGTTTTAAACCCACTGCTTGCCGTGAATCCCATGCAGTGACTATCTTCAAACGCAGCAAACACCCAGAAATCTTTCTTCACCCTGCCAATAATTCTTGTAATCCAATATTTGAAGAACTCCAACAATGCCGAGTACAATCTTGTGTTATAAAAATTAGAGCTACTTTGATATTCAAGAACCCATGTATTGGGGTCTAATTGCACTACTGAAGCACCCCATTTTGGCTGTACCCATGATGTGTTGGCCTTTCGAATCAAATAGCCAACTTGTCCACCATTCCACTTTATAAACAGATAGAAAATGACTTAAGTTAGTCCACAACAAGAAGCAATGACAAATGAAAAAAAGAAGGCATTGCTGAGAATTTACCTGGGTGACTCTTCCTGATAAGATAGAGTATGTTCGGAAAGAGAAACCATTTGTGAGCAGTCCTGCGGTTTGCAGAGGCCATCCCCAGATTGTTACCTCCTCTATAGCTGATTTGTACAATGTGCACCTTGAATTCAATAGCAGGCCATCCTATATACAATTGTAGTTGCAAAAAAAAATAAAAATATAACATTTTCAATCTCATTTTTCTCTAACAAGTAGAAAAACATCACTTTATAAAATTGAGTAGTATAATACCTGGCTGATTTGCCATGAGGTTTCTTCAAAGCTGCAATTTGAAACTTTGCCAACAACACTAGCTAACTCTTTCTGCAATAACCTCAACTTTGCATTCAAATCATGCACTTGGCTACATTTCTCAGCAACCCTTTTCACTACCTCCGGTGACAAAGAAGGTTGAAAAACCCCAGAAACAGCCCAGGGGAAAACAAGGTCTACAGATAAAAGTAATCCCAAACCCAATATCAATCTCAAGAGCTTGATACCATAGAAAGACGATTCTTGTCCCTTTTGGATTTTCATTTTCTGACAGGAATCTGATCTAGCAGTGGATTTGATTATAGGAGTGGGCGGTGATAGGTGAAAATCACTGGATCCGGGTGTGGACAACATGGAAGCATCAAAGGAGATTGGAGTGCATTCAACATTGGGTTTGGGAGCAGAGAGTTTGGTGAGAGAGGTTTTGTGGATGCTATTGGGCATGAGATCAAGGGTGGCATTGATGCTGGCTAAACAAATTTCACAGTTACAATTGGCATTTTTCTTGCAACCCGGGAAGTAGCAGCCGTTGTCACGATTATCTTCTTCCAATGAATTGGATCTTGATTTTGATTGCAGAATGACGGTTCTCATTGCTTCTTCCTTCTCTCGAGATTCCTTTTTTTTTTTTCTTGCTGCGGTCGCTGTTGCAAATTTTGTTTGTTTCAAGCTCACAGCTTTGAATTTGAATCCAACGGTCATATTATCTACAAGGACTCGTTTTTTTTAAGGAAATCTTTTTGTTCCTTTGAATGTTTTATGCTCCTTTTCCTGTTATAATTTAAATATACGAAAGCATAATAAAAGAAAATATCCAGTACAGGTATTTAAAATTTTAAATAAATTATAATAAAAATAAATTTAATAAGACATGCTGAACATTTTATTATTAATAAAAATATTTTATTATATTAAACAAAATATTATTAAAAAAATATATCTTCAATTTGATCTAGTGGTCAGATTTAAAATACAAATCAAATTATAATTCAGTAATAGCACTTCAAAGAATAAGATAAATGCTCAATGTAGGAAAAGGTGTGTTATAATAAAAATAAAAAAATAGTCCAACAAATACTCTTGTTTAAATTTAGAACTTAGATTTATAATACAAAGCGGATAAAAGTAGAACTAATAAAAATAATTTAATGATAAAATTAAAATAAAAAATAGTCACAAAATAACCTAAATTTATATGACAAGTTATCTTAAACTGTTCTAAATAAATCTTGAAAATTGCCATACTATCCTTAAACTATCAAGGGTATTTTTTAATTACAGAAGGAAAGGAAAACCTTTGGCAAGAAGATTTATTAAAAACTCTTCGACTATATAAACAAAAGTCAAACTTGGGCATTTCCATTTTCAAATCACGAAGTTCAATCCCAAAATAAGTTAACTCGGATAAGCAGAAACTAGGTGAAAATAATATATATATATATATATATATATATATATTTTATAAATATAATTTCATAAGATTTTAGCCTATCATAAAATAATTATTGATTGTAGTATTTAGTAATTAAACTTTTAAATAATTATTGTCGTCGTTAACGATATTGTTAAACCTATCATAACCCAACTCATATCTTTCATGAAAGTTATGGCCCTCAAATTTTTCTAATTTCTGTGGTGACCCAACATAAAATAAAAATAAAACTCGCATTATAAAATATATGCTAAATGAGACATCATTAGTAATAAATGACTTATACACATCATATAATAATAAATATAGATCTACATATATTAAATAACATCTTCAATCCAGTGAGCTTAAATTCAGCATCACATTTAGCCCACTTCATGAACGAATTAACTTCAATTTGTTTACTGTTACCAAAATTAACTCAAGTTTAAATTCGCTTAAACTTTGGGAGTAACAGATTAGTCGCAAGAAAGTACCTAATGTGTTTATATTCCACCATAAATGCCCAACTTCGAAGTCCGAAATTTAAAAAAGAGTTTACCATACCAAATCTGCTGCCAAAATATTCTTGAAGATTCTAGTTAATTACAGATTAAAAACAAAACGTTAAAATGATGATGATGGGATCCCCAATGAATAAAATGAAGATGATAATTGACCTTTTAACTAGGGCACTTGAAAAAGAAGCAAGCATTATCAGCGTTTTTGGTGGCTTATTTTCCAACGAATTAATTTGGCCATGGTTCTTGAAAGATCAATTGTGTTACATACAACAGGTGTGTGATTGGAACATCCAAAGATTTCCTTTGCGGGAGGTATCCTTGAAAACATTACTTTTGTTGTAGGATATCTCAGACAAGATGGACAAAAATATAATTAATTAGTTAGTAGCATGTGAAATGCACATGTATTTCAATTTAAAATAAAATATATATTTTTAATAAAAAAATAATTTTTAATAATATTTATGCATATAAATATACATGTATATATAATAAAATTATTTACTGTAAAATTAAAAAAATATATATGTAACTAGTTGTGAATCAAATGAAATTTTTTTTATTTATAATATAGAGTTTGATAATTACAGTTATAATTTATTTTAAAAATAATTACAATGAGTTGGAGCTTGGAAGGGGAAGAGATATCAAATGTTAAAAACCATTTCATTTCATTTCATGACTAATCATAGATGTGATCTATTTTTTTTTTTACATTTTATTATTCGGATAAAGGTAATCAATTCTCTTCGAGGCATGTGATTGGCAATTTTTTAGAAATAATTACTTATTTTGAAAAAAGTGAACACATACTAAAATTCAATACTTATTTCCTGTGGCTTAATTCTATGTGGTTGGTGTATAACTAAAATTTAATCATATGAATGTATGTCTACCCACGTAATATATACTCTATCTTTCATGGAGTTACTTGGTTTTAGAGAGACATTCACCTCTAATGTTTGATACATATTCAGCATAATTATTTTTTATAATCCCCCAAAAATGCAAAACCAATATGCTTGTTTATCTTCATTTAAAGTTAGCAAAATTATATTAAGCGAAAAAGTTTATTTTCTTATTTTGTATACTTGCTTTAGAAAAGTGACTTTCCATAATTAAGGTTGGCTTTTTTTTTTTTTTTAATATCCCATTTTTTCATTCACTTTTAAACGACTTTTTTTGGTTGTTTGGATAAAAAGACTATGTTAAATTATTGATACTTATTTTTTACCCATTATTTGATAGGTTAAAAAAGGTGATAAACTTATATTGTCCTGTTCATTAGTTTAACTTTTATATAGGGAAAAAAATTAGAAAACGTACAAGCGAGGACAAAAAATAAATAAACTTTAATATTACATACTTATACTAATTTATAAATTACAAGAGTGTAGATTTTTCATTTATTCTTACGGGAGTAAGGTTAAAAGATAGTACAAAATAGCAACCTTTTCTTTTATAATTCACTTTCATCCTTATAACTTGTAATCACTACCCCTTAGTCTCTCTACTATTATAATTATTGCTACTGTTGAATCAGCACTGTCGATTTATCTTTGCCATTTATCTGTTGGACGTAAAAACTTATAACATTCATATCTCTTTTCACACAATTATTCTATTTATTATAATAATAAAACACCTAGTTCAGACCCATTGTTTATGTTTCTTTTGTTCTGTCCCTTTTACAGTGTAAGGAGGCATCCAAATCCCTTGGAAATTATTAATTCTGTTGACAATTGACAATTCATTCACAATAGGGAAATTTGAAGCACTTTTTTGAAATTGTTAGCGTGTATGAATTGAAGGGAAAGTTCACTTGTGAATACTTTCATCAATGCTGGGCTATAACAATGAAAGTACGAAGCTGCGGTGGAATATGCTCACTTTTCCAAGAGATTGCGCAATGAATTAATTCCAAAGCTTTCTCAATGGTGAGGCAATCGTTGCTCTGCCTTCTCAAACATTATGCTTTGTCCTCCGCAATTGGGACATTGCAAATTCATAGACAACGATCTGTCCCTTTTTTAGCCTTCTTTCCTTATCAAATTCATTAATAGCACATTGTATGTTTATCACTAAATTCGTCAAGATGAAAACTCCATTTATACATTTCTATACAAAGCTGACCATATATGCTTCTATTTCACACTTTCTTTCCTCCTCCATGAGAAAAAGTGATGAATAAAAGAGTAATAAAGTTGAAAAAAGTATCACTTAAATAAGAATGAGAAGGACAGAATTTTAAATATATATCTATATTTGCTTTATTTGAACGCTAGAATAGTGAGTAAAAATATGAAATAACAAAAATTGTCATTCTTGATTAATGATTGCATAAAATAATTTTCAAAGAAAATAATGACATGGATAATAAATAAAGTGCAGAGATGTCCATGCTAAAAAGAGTTTCCACTAGGGGTAGCACTCTTTTGCCATTAGCACAATGTCTGGATTTCCTCAAAAGAACGGCTATATGAGGATTTGTGGTTGACATCATAACTCTTATTCCTTACGGAATAATGGAAAATCAATCATTTCTTTGTTGCATGAAAGATTGAAGAATCGTATTCCAAAGGCTGTGCGCTAGTGACGGCCAAGATTAATTCAACTTGGCACTAAACAAATGGCAACAGATTAATGACAATTTCATAATTCAAACAAACCTAGGTTGATTGTAATCAAGTATATATTATAATGAGCATAATCCATACACCATCCTTAGCCACAACCAAATTAGTGTCTTAGCCACTCGATGTTTCTTCATTTAATGGAACTTTGTAGCTTGTGTATGCCTCAACCACATAACAAAGTTGAAGAAAAGAAAAGATTAAAACTATCATCATAATAACTGCCAATATGTGATCAAGTCATTGTCCATAATGGAGAAAATTCTCCTACTCTCAACTTTTTGAGTTATGTTTTTTTCAATTTACAAAATAAACTATTCTTACGTCCATGAAAAAATAATGACAAAATTCATATTTTATATTTGGAAATTTAGTTGAATGTAGATGTTGCTTTATGAATAGATTATCTGTTTCTCATATAGGTTTGCGGAAGTTGTTTCTGGGATTTTATAAACCGTATAGCTTATAACTTTTTAAATATTTTCTTTGTATAATTTATCAAAATACAATATTTAATTTATTAAAATAAATTTCACAATTATATTTATACCATGAGTATTCACGTAATAGAAGTTATTAAATAAATTATGCGCCTCTTAATCAAGTATGAGAAATATATAGGTGTTAAAGTCACTTGCCTTGCAAAGTACGGTAGCTTCTTGTCTATCTTCTTGAAAGGAAAATGTGTGCAGAGTATACACGGAAATGTTAAAGTTTAAAGAAACATTCATTTATTTTATTTCTTTTTTTAATAATTACAGAAAAATATTGTTGAGGTTTAGTTTACTTTTATTTTTGGTTTCTCATGATGTCTTGAATATGAATCTTTTTTCAAATTATTCATGTTACTTAAAGATAAGGAACGATTATATCATTTGTAACAAGGTTCTTATAAGAGATCCAGAGACACATGTACATAGGAACCTAAAGACAAAAATGTTATGCAACTCTTTTTCAGTTGCATTGATAAGCGTTCCAAAAACTACCAAATTTATGCTTTATATATGCTCCATTTAGCTCAACTTTTAATTAGTCAAAAGTTTAAAACAATTTCTAAATATCAGAGTTCATAAAAAAGAAAAAAGAAAAACACATCAGAAATACAAAAACTAAATTGAGCGGAAGATACCAGACTTGAGAAAATTCCAATCTTTTCAATTTATCATAACAACCAAGTCCTAAAAGTACTTGTGTTAATTAAATAAAGAAGTTTGTAGTACCAAAAACACCATTCTAATATACCAAAGGAAAGGAACTACTCAGAAGCATTAAAACTTTGTTATGTCCATTTTAAGCACAAATGAATCAAATTTCAAAAAGTTTAGGACCAGAATGGTTCTGTTGATCTGCTTCATGGACAATAAAGTTAGGATCATCGTTTTTCTTTCTTGAAAATCAGGTCTCTATTTTGCCAAGAAAGTAAACAAGGAGATAACAAAGATAATTAGGATACCAAACTAGAGATCAGTTGGGAAAAAGAAAGAAAGAAGCAAAAAAAAAAAAAAAAAGAAAAGACCCTTCATCTGAAATAACACTTCCTATACATGACAAGAAGGGGAAAAAAACTTAACAAAAAAAGGCTGAAACTAAAAACTTTTATTCCAACCAAAGCAGAGTGTCCCCTGCCTCTGCCGTGCTACACCCTGCACCCTCTCCTGTTTTCATCACCCTCTCCTGTTTTCATCAATACAAAGGGAAACTCGAAGAATCCCCAACTTGAGAAGTGCTGGTTGACCTTGTGTACTTCTTTGACGAAGCTGGAGAAGATGATAAATCACCAGACCTCCTCCTAAGCATCTGTCTCATACCTTCTGCCACTCTAACTGCAGGGTTGGATTTGAACTTGCGGCAGAATGACATGTGAGCTTTCACAGCTTCATCCATGGCTGATGGCTTTTTCCCTCCACTCACTTCATCTCTCACCGCTTCTGAGCACAACCCACATAACCATTTTCCATCAAACTTAGCCTTCACTTCGTTGATATAGTCTAGGGTGCAGTCCTCTTTCAAGCCACAACACTCACACTTGGCTGACTCAACCTCCATCTCTTTATAACTCTTAACCTCTCTTTTCAGCTTCAAGTAAAGCTTATCTTTTTTTAAGGACGAGAATCTTTCTCCTTAAAACATGCAAAAGGGTGGTTTGGGTTGGTTTTCCTTTGGTTAGATTCGACCACAATGATTGAGATCTTGCTTATTTAGTTGTATGTTGCTGTGTTTTCCCGCTTAGGATTGGTGGTTTTGTTGCTTCAAGAACTAGCAAGTGTTTGTTGTTCAACGAGGGGTTTTATGGTGGTGTTTGAGATGAGAGAGAATGTGAGTTTAAAGAAAGAGGAAATGCCATAATTTCCTCCATGTTCTAAGGGACATGGGCAGTGGAAAATGTGACAAGGGTGGTCGGAGGGACCTTTGCTCTGGCCCTTTCTAGCATTTAATACTTTAATCCTATAGACCCCTAAATCAAACTACCCAAAACGTAAAATAGGTGGGGCAAAGGGGTCCCTTCATAGTTAATAATACGCTCTTTTTTAATCTTTTCTTGCATTTTTTACTAATTTTCTACTCTTTCTTGTCACTTTTGGTTGTTTGTCCCGTTCTCTCAGTGGTTTTATCTAATTAGGTTTTCACTTCTTAATTGTTTTTGTAAGAGATATCTTAAACTTGGACAATGAGTTACAATCCCGCTAAATCATGAGTTTAAATAAATTATTTTATTTTATTTAATGAATTTCTATTATGTGATGATTTATGCCCGAAATTTAATTATAAATTTTTTAGAATAAGATAAGATTATTTATTTAATATGATATTGAAAATTAATATAAATTATAAATTATTTTATAAGATGTTTATGAAATTTTTTTTAAAAAGCTTCCAAAGTCAGCAGCAATTCTACTTTATCAAACTGTGACAGAAGCACAAGTATAATGGTACATAATTACAAGAGCTGCGTAAGCCTCCTCATTCTTTTTAGTTGAACGGCTACTTTTGACACAAGCACAGCTACTCACACACAATGGCACATTACCACCGTTTTGGCACAAAGTGAGCATCTCTCTTTAGTAGAAAAAAAGCAATACAAGTCAGCATTTTTCTTTTTCTTTTTAAATAATATGATATCATCCTACAAAGCTTTTTATTAAGTAGGAGTATTAACAAAATGATATCATAAAAAAAAAACTAGAAGTATTCTGATAATATAGTAAACAGTTTTAATGGTTTTTATTTCTTTAATTAATGTCTTTAAAATATTAGTTAGCATTTACTAAAAGGTCATTCTAATTAATCATATTAAATACTTCTAATTATTTTAAAAAATTAGTATTAAATAATTTTTTGCATTTTTTATTTTTTTTGCCTTTCGTTGCTCAAGGTATTTGCTTCTGTGAAAAGAATTTAATATAAAGAAAACCAAATTTAGGAAAGAAAGCATGCATGTGAATCACCAAAATGAACGCTTATTTTATTCATGTTTTCAAGCTAATGTTCTTTTGACTTGGCCATGACCTTCTGCTCCTTTATTTGGTTCCACCCGTTGTTACAGAAAGGGAATGAAAACTCGGAAATTCAAAGCACATGGCAGGGCAGCGTAGGCTAGGCTTGCCGATTTGATTAGCTTAATTCCATGAATGTTGACTGCAGTGCAATGATTTTTCCCCTACAATGGCTGTGATGGTTCATGCTGGTTTGCTTAGCAAGGTTCGGTCACAATCATTAAAAAAAAATGAAAACTTTATCAAACAAATAGTTGTGAACTTAGCCATGTTTCTGGATGTCCTTATCTCAATTAATTTAATTACACTTCTCTCATAGATTAGCATAAATTCATGTTCAATGTGGTTTATAAAAGAGTGTTGTCTATATATAATTTTCAATAACGCGCTTTAAGAAATTAAGAATGTGCAAATTAATTTAGATGATAAAGCTATATTTATCTAAGATCAAATATCACCGACAGGTTTTAGTGAGAAAGCGTCTATTCTCACTCCAAGATATCTGTTAGTACTCATGTTTAATTATATTTTATAATATTCATTTAAGTTTGATTAACGAAGAAAATATTTTAAATATAAAAATAATATTTGAAATTTATTTAAGTCAATAGAAATATGAGAATGACAGTCAACACTCCCATTTTATGAAGGAAAAAGGTAATTTTAACCAAAATTAAAGCAGAAGAGAATTAACATTGATCTGAAATCTCAAGATAACTATGCCGGTGAAGGTTGTCCGCCGATTGACCACCTAACTTTATTTATTTTTTTAAGAAAAAATATAATATAAGGATGAAAAGAAATGATACAAGCGTGCATATAAAAGTAAATATTTTAGAAAACAATGCCCATTTTTTTTGTCATAAATCACTTTAAAATTACTTGACAGGTGAATGTGACAAACAACAAATTGACGACTTGACTACACGTTGCCAGATTTTTCAATGGTGTTGAAAATTGCAATAATACAACTACTCTCTGGCTTATTTATTTCCCATCTAAAAAACCATTTCTTTTTCTTTCCTTTTCCTCTTTCACAACGACCAAAGTATCTTCATATGAGATTCTAGTCCAAAACGTATATGCAAAGCTGCTTTTCCCCACCAACAAAGTGCACAAGGCAATTACACACCATTGCCCTTATATGTCCTGGCCAAAAGGTTCGCAAAGCTAGCTAGCATAAGAATTTTAATTAGCACTGGTATTGGGTAATCAACCCATAAAATTTATTTTCAAGGACTTACCACTCATGGGAAACATTTCCACCCCACTACACAATTTTGCAAGTCTACAATTTATTTTGTACTCACTTTTATTGATCTTCATTTACATGATAGCAAAGTGACCATATCCTTGCATCATTGAAAATGAAGTATCATTAGTTGTGTACTGTTATACTTTCCCATACTTTTTTCTTTGTGATCTAATTAACGCAGCTAGGCTTCCTCCCTTGAGCGTTGCTTTCAACTACAATGCTGTGTCTAATAATGTTGACTCGTTGTTGGGAGCAAATAGATATGGACTTCTCACAATTGAGACACGTGGAAGATCACAATTGGTCTGTTACTGCTTACAAGCTCATAACCCTGAATTGAGTTGCTCCAAAAAAAAAAGGCAAGTCAAAGTCAGATTTGGTGTATATGTATTGGAGAAGTACGTAAGGAAACATGGAACGTGCATGTTCTGTTGAGAGTTTGAACCCCTTCCCCCAACGATCCATTTGTATGTTCACTAAGTTAGGATTTGAAATTCATTACATGCTCTTAATTTATAAATCTTTAGAAGATTTTTTTACTGTGTATATGCTTATATCAGTCCAACAAATATAAAATGGTACCTTTCAGGGTTTAATCTGATCACATTGAAATGAAACTGATAGTGAATGCAAGGAGGGTTGGTCCTGTTGGGACTAGTGATCTGATTTTGAAGGCCCGGATCATTATTTTAAGCCACAGAAAATAAAGTTAGTTAGGTTCATGACATTAGAAGAATCATAATTGAGCAGGCTAACTTGGCAACAATAATTGCACATATTAGGTAATAATTTTAGGACCACTTTTGTTAGTGACCAGAGCCTAAAATCTAATCACATTTTTTTTAAGATCAAAATAGTCTGTACTTGGTGTGACTATTAACTTTTTTATTAAAAAAATGGGTAGGACTATTAACTTTAGTTGACACTGATGTGGAAAATAGCAGCAAGTAAAAATTGTAACCTAGAACAATAAAAAAGTAAGGTGGCATCAAAATAAAATTATAAGATAAATATCTACGTGTGACTTTAATAACAACAACAAAAGTCCGTTGCAATCTCACACGCGTGTGATCTTTCTTGCTCACACAATCTTTAACTAATAGACGCGTATATAGCTCACAATATTAAATACCGAAGTTCATAATTTTTCTTAAACTACGAAATTAGCTTTTGTTTTGAAAATCAAATGAGTAGGAGAAACAATGGACAGGTTAGAATTTTGTAATGTATCACTGTTCATATATCATGCGTTAGTTCATTGATCAATTTAGCTTTTTCGATTTCTTTCCATCATCATTAATTTGTTTTTAAACAAACAGTTAGTTACTTAGCATATGTTAAGAATTAAATTTAAATTTTGAAGGAAAAAGAGAGAATAAAATCTTTATTTTTAATAAATATTCTTTAATTCAATATTTTTTAAAATAAAAAATAAACCGATCGGTTAAAAACTTTATATCTTGTTTATTTTATTTGGTTTTATAACTATTATAGTAATTTAAAATTAAAATGTATCTTCTTTTTTGTATTTCTCCAAAACCCAGCGTATCTCTACATAAAGCCATCATATTTGAATTTATATCCAACTCTAAGATATAATAGTTTTCAATGAAAAAGGCTATTAAAAAATTACAACAATGTCTATAAAACCTTCGTGAGTCTTTACCTAGTACGTAGCTTAAACTCTTACTATAGTCATAATGAAAGTTGACAGTCATTGACATAATATTAAAGCCTTTAATAAAAAAAAAAATATGCGTGGGTCACAGTGAACGTGAACTATGATTACAAACGAATTTACCTAAAATGTCATATTCAAATTCTAGATTTGTCATTGTAAAAAGATTTCACCTAATTATCAATTCAAGTCTAAAAGTTAGACTCACAAACTATATCTTTAGGAATACTACCTTGACAAAAGCTTCAAATCAAGTGATATTGATGAATCGTGTTACGTATTAAATCATTTATAAGCCGTCACTTAATAGTTGGAATTTTTAGGTTAGCTACTAAGTGACAAAAGACAAATAGTGGACATCTAGTTACACTAAAATATGTATCCAGATGTGAACTGTTTGAAGCTGAAAACAAAGACATAATAGAAGGAGCATGCGTGAGAATAAACTCCGTTTGCTTATTATACGAGCTTTGTGATAGGAGAGTTTGGTTTTCTTTGTTGGGACCATCAAGAAGAAGAAGCAAACATTGTCCTTCTCAGAGATAAAAACTGTACATCCCTTGTTACCAATAGGTCCACAGACAAGCCAAAAGGCTGTAAAGCTACTGTGCCATTTTCGTTCATTCCAAACACGGGTTTGCTTGTCTGTTAGGTGTATTGCAATTACGATGACCACAAAAATGGTATGTCGGAGTAATGTTTGGGAGTCACGAGCTACACCACATTATCACTCGCATCAGAAAATTTATGATGCGAACATGAAGATATCATTTCCTCTTTTATCCAAATAGTCAAATATATATCGTAATGAGAGAAATTAAATCAGTGTACGTCTCCCTTTTCTTGCATGGAAGACATTATTCAAAGTTTTTAATTCAATTTTTTATGAAATGGATCATTTAAATTTA